GTACAGAAATCTGAGCCAGCTCTTAAGGCTCTGGAAACCTTGCAGAACCCAGCCCGGCAACAGCAGCTCCTGCAGGCAGACAAGTGGGGGCTAGAGGCCTTGAAGGCAGTGCCAGGTGGTGACAATGCTATGCATCCAGTCTGCTCTGATATCCAGCAGCTCATGCTCTTCACTCTGGCCCCACTACTTGCCTCCAAAGGCCACAACCCAAGTTCAGAGCTTTATAAAGAGGAGGTCAATGCTCACAGCAGTACTGACACTACTACCAACATCCCCACAGCCTCAGCACCTGCCAGGCCATTTGCACAAAAGGTCAGTGCAGAAGAGGTTACCCAGGCCAGGAGCGTGGCCTCAAATCAGGCCAATTCAGGATACGGGACTGGTATGCCAGATGTAAGTTTGGGCCAGGATCTTCTCTTTCAGGATGGTCAGCAGCCCACAGGGAAAACCACTTTAACCGGTCAGCTTAGACCCTCACCCTCTGCCTTGCATAGAACCTTGCATGTCCTGCAGCAGAATCCAGCTCTTCTCCACCAGTTGGCAACTGGAAGCCCCCTGAGACATCACATGCCACTGCTTTCCCTCCTGACCAATCCACGAGCACTGCAGGCATTGATACAGATAGAAAAGGGCCTGCAGATACTGTCCAAGGAGGTGGCTGGGCTGGGACCTTACTTATGGGGCCAGGGTAGGCCACACGGGACTAGACAGTGCCCTGAAGCTAGGGCTGGAGGGCAGGGCCAGAGAGCAGACTCCATACAACCCACCTTGGCTGTTCTTCAGCTTCTCCACGCACTGGACAATGCCTGCTTCCAGTCCACTCAATCCTCACTACCCTCATCCCCCCTCACTGAAGGCCTCTACCAGCGAGAACTGGAACATCAGAGGGCCATGGGTTTTACTAATCGGGATGCCAATCTACAGGCCCTTATGGCCACAGGCGGAGATAGTCATACTGCCATTGACAGGATGCTGGGGGTACCGGAAGCCCAGGTGCCTCCAGCTGACGCCCCCAGCGCACCACCTCATGGAGAGGGAGGGAAGGGAAGGGGGAAGGGAGGGGAGAGGAAGTAGCCTATTTTGAATCCTTCCTACTTAGATCGTGTGCACACTTGAACAACTCCCCTCCCTCACTGCCCAAGCCTGTTCTACATTAAAAACATTGCTTGGATCTCATGTGTGGTGTCAATTTGGGGGTATGTAGGCAAAGAAAATATTGTTTGGGGGAGAGATTGATCATGCTATCAGGTCTTGGGTCTGGGCTGCACCTACTCTCATACCCTTAATCTCAGAGCTTTTTCTAAATTTGAACGTGAGGTGGGGAAATCCTGAGTGTTTCCAGCAACCTGGTTCCCTATCAACATTACCATCATCGTCACAAGCCACCTCTGGTCCAACGCCAGAGTGACTCTGAATGAATCCTGGCTCTGCCCCCGCCCCCCCCCCACTCCACCGCGGGAAGCCCCTCTCTCTTTTCATCTTCGGGTCCAGTGTCTCCGTATTACAGAAAACCTGTTCAACCTCCCTCTCAGCTCTGGCTCTTTCCTGCCTGCCTGTGCCAGAATCCTGCTTTAGGAGGTGAACACCCCGCCCCCCCACCCCCACCCCAGGCAGGTTTCTTCCCTTTATGTCATAAAATACTTGACTCTGCTGCCTTATCAGACACTGAACTTCTCTCTCCTTTTGCCTCCGAATTTCTTGAAACTCCTCTTTCAATGCCCACGTTTCCCCATCCTCTGCAATCAGACACTTACCGCAGTGAGTCATTTCTCCTGTTCCCATTATTTTTTTTGTATGGAGTCTTATATGCAGACCCATATAGCTGCTTTATTTACTCTCTTTTCTTATCCTTTTTTTGTTTTTGAGTGGTGATTCCTGTGAGTATGCTACACTGATTGATTCTCCATTCACCATTCAGGGAATTTGACCATGTCCTTTGCTGTGGCTCTTACTTCCATGTTCGTGGTTCCTTAATATCTTAGTCCATTTGTACTTTCCTTAGCTTACCAGCCTACCCCTGGGTGTCACAGAGGAACCTCTGGCTGGCATGGTCAGAAAGAGCTCAGCATCCTTCCCTGGGCCCCATTCCTACTCTCAATTCTGGGGTCCTTGTGTCTTAGTGAAAGTCACCAATACTTTCCTAATCCACTCATTCTCTTTGTAAACTGTCATCTGTCAGTGAGGAGATTCATAGTGTAGGCACATGAAGCATGACCAGAAGACCAGGGGTCATATGTAGGCATGCAGCAGGATAACAGCTGATGAAAGAGAGGTAGGAAGCATATTAGAAGCATTACTTTGGGGAAACCAGCGACTATAGATTCAGAGCCAGCTCCAGGGGTCAACTGACCCTGGGCTGAAAAACAGCTGAATCTCGTGCTTCCTGGGGGCTAGAGAGGAGGGACATCTCTGAGCTACACACTGTGACTTCATTGTTTTGTGACACCCCATGAACCTAGAGACCTGAAGGTTGTGGCCGTCAGGGACTGTGGATAAAATACCTTTGGGACCACATGACCCACCAACGGTCCTGATACACTTCACTCTATTCTTCACTTCCCTGTGGCACCAGGATGTTAGTCTGAATTTCTGAGATCAGGGATGCACATTTGGTCCCAGGGAAGAGTGAGAGTCTGGGGTGAAGTGTGAGTGATGGGCAAGGCAGTATCCCGAGCCTCTGGAAGCATGCCTCCTCTTTTATCATGTGGAGTCCCATGGTCAACACCTGAGTGAGGTGGGAAATCTTGACAATAATGTTAATAGTCTTCCTGTGGACTGGACCCTGCTACCTCCAGTTTTATAGAAGCCTATGGACTTCTACAAATCCCCTTCCCCATCTAGGGAACTATTACATTTTAGCTTCAGGATGATAAAAGGGCCAAAAACAGAACTTTAAGGAGTGGAGCTTGCTGCCAGGGCTGTAGAATCCTCCATCTGTCTATTATCTATCGTGTGTGAAGCTTGGACTTCAGTCAGTAATGGGAAACCCTGGGGAAGACACGCCCAGTGCTGTATCCATAGGGTATCCGTCCAGAGTACAGGCTGTAGCTAGACCGGCCCCGGTACCAAGGTGTTAGCAGCTGGGTGATCCTGCATCCCCCCTTCTCTTCTATTTTCCACTCTACCCCTGTAAGCTTTCTCCTCGAAGCTTCCTTGAGACCTCAGACATGAAAGGGGAGAATTGTTGATGAATTTGTTGGGGGAGACAAGGGAACGCTAGCCTGCAAACTATGTCGGACACATTTGTCCACTCCTGAACTTAAATTTACTTACCAGTACCTCAGTCTCCTGTAGCTCTGTGGTACTGTAAGTCTAGCCCCCAGATGGATGCATTTTCAACATTACTATGGGAGTCCAAAGTCCTGAATCCTGGCCCTGCCTTTGATAGTAACTTCCTGGGTTACTGACTCTCTCTTTCTTCTAGGAAAAATGTGAGGTTCACGGCAGGTAATTAGCGTGATGGTGAGCGTTACCTTGTGAGGTAGACCTTTTGATCAGATGAAGCCAGCATCTTAGGGGAGCAGGCATATGGCCCACAAAGGAGCATTTCAGGAACAGAACAGCACTTCCCCTCCACATTCCCACCTTCCGCTCCTTTGTATATATTGTTCTCTGTTCCTGAGATCATTACATCACTGGGTCTCTTTACCATTTACTGCCTCAGAGGATAATAGGTCTTCACTTTCGCTACTATGTGTTTGTGCAGCTGGGCATCCTCACATGTATCTCATACTGAAGAAGGTATGAGATACTGTCCATATAGATGCATAATCTTGGCACTTTTAGCTTCTCTGAATCATAGGCTCTTAATGAAAGATGCTGATAGTAACCATGTTTTGAATTATGGGAAGGAGCAACCGGTGACTTATTTGTGTATTTTAGAACTGAGGTTACTAGGGCAAAGGAGGGCTATTAAAAAAGGCACTTGGATTTTGAGAAGGGCTCTCTGAATTCTTAATGAGGGATAATTTTATGGCTAAAAGGAAAGGGATTTCAAAACAGAAGACCAGAGGAGGAATGGGAGAAAATACAGTTTTAACAGGCACTATTCATATCCCAAGACCTGTCTAAATATTTTAGAGTTGTTATTTGATATAGGTATCATAATAATCCTATAAAATGATATAATATAAAACCATCCTAAATAAGTTATAAGTTGACTAATAAAGTTCAGAGTGTACATAACGTTCTCATATTTATTGGTTGACCATTTTACATGTCAGGCACTGTCTTAAGTTTTCTGCATTCATTAACTTACTTATTCCTCACCACAGCATTAACAGTTAGATATTAACATTTACTCATTTGACAGTTGGACAAACCAAGGCATAGAGAGATTTAGCATCAGGCTCAAGACCACAAAAACAGTAAGCAGAGGAACCAGGATTCACACCCAGAAACTCTGACCTTAGACTTTTTGCTCTTCATCACTATCCAAAACATTGAAATCAGACGAATTTACCAAAAATGATCATTTTTTTAAACTTGGACTCACAGAAGAATATTTCCACTATGAAACACAGACTCATTTAAGAAAAGCAATTAACTTGATCTTTAGTAAGTCATGGAAATATTTGCAGGAAAAGAAAAAAAATCAGGAGCATTCTGCACGGGCACTATCGTAGCTACTGAGATATCTCCAAGGTGTGCTTATTCCTAATTGTAAAATTTCCCCAAGAGTAAAAATATTATCATCTCTCTGAGTTATTCAGCATTGCCCAAAGAACCTCAAGAATGTGGTGTGTTCAATGTGATTTTTGGTGTTTCCAATTCTTCTGACCTTCCCTTTGCTTCCACTACTTCCTCTCCTAAAAACACGCTTATGTCACATTAGAGGCCTCCATCCATGTAAATGTACCTAGAAAGCTCAGAACCCATTTACTTTCCTTATCCCTAGCCTGTACTCAAATTTCATGTTGAAATTTTTCCCAAGTGAAGCAGCCTCAGAAGTCGGCTCCGAATCTCCTTGGTCCTAGCCCCATA